TAAGACCATGAACGTTAAAAATTGTATAAATTAAACATTAAATTTTTCTCTCTTTTGAAAGTTAAAATGTCTTTTTGTTGTCAGTGTATTCTGCTTTAAGAAATATTTTTTGTCAACAAACAGCTCATAAAAAAACTTTACATCTATTGTTCGAGCACATTAATTTTTGATGTTCTGTATTCTCTTTGAGTTAGTACTTTAGAAAATTGTAGATGATAAAAAAACATAAGCCTGTATAAAGTCTGTTCCAAAACAAAAACTGTTGCTTGAAAATTAATTTATGTCAAAAACATAACTGTTGTCTTGAAAATAAATTTATGTCTTGAAAAATAAATTAATGTCTAAATAATAAAAGAAATAGTATTTTAGAGAAAAAGAGAAGAAAATTTAATAGAATTCTTTGACTTTAACACCTAACAAATGAAAACAACAATGCAACAATTTCCTTGCCAAAAATGATAAATTCTCATGCATACAAAACTGTACAATATCTCTGAAGCATCTGCACAAATCTTTGACAGAAAGTATATCAGTATCTAAAGCACAATTCTTTCTCTTTTTTTTCAGGCATCTCATCCCCTATTATCCGCACTTTGAAATTCTACATAAAAAAAAAAAAACCCTAAAACTTTGCATTTATTTTCCTTTTACTCTCAAAATAAGCAAAGCACTATTTTTTTCGCACATTTCTTTCGAATTATGAAAATCTTAAATTAACTCCTCATACAGTATATAATAATGCCGATAAATCATCCGAGTTTTCAATTTTAAACGTCAGTGTAAGTGATTAAAAGTACTGTATACAAACAAATGTATCATTGGTCGAGGATTCCACTATAAAAGTTATCTTGATGATCATCATGGGTCACTCTATACAAGTTTATATGAGCCGCGTCATGACAAAACCAACATAATGGGTTTGCGAACAGCATAGATCCAGACCAGCCTGCGCATTCGCGCAGTCTGATCAGGATCCATGCTGTTCGCTTACAGACCGTTTAACCAGTAGAGAAAGTGATAGCGAACAGCATGGATCCTGATAAGACTGCGCGGATTCGCAGGCAGGTCCGGATCCATGCTGGTCGCAAATCCATTATGTTGGTTTTGTCGTGACGCGGCTCATATTATCTATATCAACTCCCCACTTAATCCAATCTGTCTTAAACCATTAAACTGTAATAAGCCGTACTTTATTAGGTCATAATAACTACCCCACTATTATCTATATTTCAGTTAACCTTGTTAAACTTAATGGAGATTAATTAGCTATCCTTTCTAGATGACAACATTAAAATGTTAATCTTGAATTATCCCGACTTAAGTTAATGGACGTCCATGCAATTATACATCATCCGTAAACATAGTCTCGAATACGAATAGTTAATTCTATAATCATACAAAGAATTTAGGTTTTTTCTTCATTTAAAAAGTAGCCGACAAAACAGCTCTGTGGGAATCGCCTATCCTAAAACCATTCCAATACCAAAAACTATTTATCAGCATATTTAAGGATTGTACTATATGTGCTTTTTTAAATGATCTTGTTTTTTTCTTAAAAATGAAAATTTTAGTATTAAAGGTCAGTTGAGGTCAAATAGCAATTATCAGCTTATAGGGACAGTACTGCCGGCATGGAACAATACATGTTGCCTGGCAACGCAAAATTGAAAAAAAAAAGAATGATCTCCTATCAAAGATTTAGTTATGAATGGGGCATTATTTAAGAAAAGCAGGAGGCTGATCATGTATTTGCTATCATATATATGTGAAATCCAAAGATTTTATTAAAGATAAACTTATTGGTTATATAAAATTGTAAAATTTAAAGAAACAAGATATGTTTGTAAAACATGTATGCCCCCTATCAGCAGCCAATGAGTCATGTGATAAGGTTATTATGCATGACTTCTGACCCAGTGATCAAACAATTAATAAGGGTTATCAAGTATAACTGGTCATGACCTTAACCTTTGACCCCTTAACCCCAAAATCCAATAGGGGTCATCTGCTGGTCACGACCAATCATCATACAAAGTTTGAAGTTCCTAGGCCAAAGCTTTTTAAGTTAATTGATCGGAAACCGTTTTAACATACAAGGTCAATGTGACCTTGACCTTTGACCCCTTGACCCCAAAATCAATAGGTCATCTGCTGGTCATGACCAATCACCATACCATGTTTGAAGTTCCAAGGCCAAAGGGTTCTTAAGTTATTGATTTGAAAGCATTTTTACCTACAAGGTCAATGTGACCTTGCCCTTTGACCCTTAACCTCAATATCAATAGGGGTCATCTACTGGTCATGACCAATCATCATACCAAGTTTGAAGTTCCTAGGCCTAAGGGTTCTTTAGTTATTGATCGGAAACCGTTTTACCTAAGAGGTCAATGTGACCTTGACCTTTGACCCCTTGACCCCAAAATCAATAGGGGTCATCTACTGATCATGACCAATTACAATATCAAGTTTGAAGTCCCTAGGCCTAAGGGTTCATTCGTAATTGATCGGAAACCGTTTTTACCTACAAAGTCAATGTGACCTTGACCTTTGACCCCTTAACCCCAAAATCAATAGGGGTCATCTGCTGGTCATGACCAATCACCATACTAAGTTTGAAGTTCCTAGGCCTAAGGGTTCTTTGGTTCTTTTGTTATTGATCGGAAATCGTTTTTACCTTCAAGGTCAATGTGACCTTGACCTTTGACCCCTTAACCCCAAAATCAATAGGGGTCATCTGCTGGTCATGACCAATCACCATACCAAGTTTGAAGTTCCTAGGCCTAAGGGTTCTTTTGTTATTGATCAGAAACCGTTTTTACCAAAGAGGTCAATGTGACCTTGACCTTTGACCCCTTGACCCCAAAATCAATAGGGGTCATCTACTGATCATGACCAATTACCATACCAAGTTTGAAGTTCCTAGAACTTAAAGTTCTTTAGTTATTGATCGGAAACCGTTATTGCTTACAAGGTCAATGTGACCTTGACTATTGACCCCTTGACCCCAAAATCAATAGGGGTCATCTACTGATCATGACCAATCACCATACCAAGTTTGAAGTTCCTAGGCCTTAAAGTTCTTTAGTTATTGATCGGAAACCGTTTTTGCTTACAAGGTCAATGTGACCTTGACCTTTGACCCCTTGACCCCAAAATCAATAGGGATCATCTACTGATCATGACCAATCACCATATCAAGTTTGAAGTTCCTAGGCCTTAAGGTTCTTTAGTTATTGATCGGAAACCGTTTTTGCTTACAAGGTCAATGTGACCTTGACCTTTGACCCCAAAATCAATAGGGGTCATCTACTGATCATGACCAATCACCATACCAAGTTTGAAGTTCCTAGGCCTTAAAGTTCTTTAGTTATTGATCGGAAACCGTTTTTGCTTACAAGGTCAATGTGACCTTGACCTTTGACCCCTTGACCCCAAAATCAATAGGGATCATCTACTGATCATGACCAATCACCATATCAAGTTTGAAGTTCCTAGGCCTTAAGGTTCTTTAGTTATTGATCAGAAACCGTTTTTGCTTACAAGGTCAATGTGACCTTGACCTTTGACCCCTTGACCCCAAAATCAATAGGGGTCATCTACTGATCATGACCAATCACCATACCAAGTTTGAAGTTCCTAGGCCTTAAGGTTCTTTAGTTATTGATCGGAAACCGTTTTTGCTTACAATGTCAATGTGACCTTGACCTTTGACCCCTTGACCCCAAAATCAATAGGGGTCATCTACTGGTCATGACCAATCACCATACCAAGTTTTAAGTTCCTAGGCCTAAGGGTTCTTTAGTTATCACTCGGAAACCATTTGGTCTACGGACCGACGGACCAACGGACCGACAAGTGCAAAGCAATATACCCCCTTTTCTTCGAAATGGGGGCATAATGAAGATATTATAACAACTTCAACAAATTTTTAACACCACTATTTATTTAAAGGATGGTTTAATTACACAGTCATGTTTTCTTTAAATTCAGCAACATTCTTATCCAAACAATGACTTGTTTCAAGTCTAAATTTCCAAAAAGAATTTCAATTCACTAATTGGATTTTTTCTCTCCTTAATAAATCATCTTAAATAACTTTTTGAAACAAATACTTAACACTTGTTATTTGTAGTAATATAAGTAATACAGAACTTTTCCCTTTTCAAAACCTATTCATATCGTTCAGCTAAATTTTTTAGAGAAATTTAATACTGGAGAAATCCGGTATATACCGACAAATTGAAATAATTAAGACTTAATTGATTTTAGAAAGCAACTAAGTAATTATGTATCAATTACATTAGAAATGTCAATTTTATACTTAAGAGGTTAAATGGGTAGAAACAATTTTAACTGAGTCAATGATCTGACATATTATAGTTTAAAACCTAAATAGTTTGGTGTAACTGTAGTTATACGAATATGACTTGCAAGATGAAATATTTTCAATTTGACTGTTGCTTCAATATGTAAAATGATGATATATCACATTAAAGGTCATGTCCAGTACAGTTGATACTGTGGTCACTTTATGACAGGACATTAATCTCTCATGATTTAATGACTTTAATATTCATTTTTCCACGATTTTCAGATTAAAATTACTGTAGAAAACTTCTCAATCCATTTTTAAAATTATTTCATTATTTTTAAAAAGAATCAAAGATTTAACTGTAAATTGACATTAAAGTTGAGGCTGAACACAGAAGAGTGCGATCAAAGCATGAAATTGATTGAAAATGAGTGTTAAAGGAATTATTTTAGAAAAGAAGAGGAAAGAATAAAACAGTTTTTTCATAATAAATACAATTTTTTCTCTTCAAAATTCATCCAGTTATATTCTAATTAAAAACCTACACGACTTTTTCAAATCCTTTATCAACATAGATATTTCTCCCTTTCATTTTTCATCTTCTTTAAAGGTAAAATTTCCTTTAACCCTAACCCTCCCCCACCTGACCCCCTACTCCCTTACTCTTGTGAGATATAATCAAGTTTACCTGTGTCTATCTGTATAAGATTCATTAATATCCTGCCAGGAACTATGTAGATCTTGTAGTAGTGACCGTAACCTTTTTCTTTCATCAGGTTCACATTGAGCAAATATCTCTTCTTTCTCATTATCCAGTCTATCTATACCTGCTTTAGCATCTTCTAAACGTTTCTGTACCTCCTTTATAATACAAAAAAAAACAAGTTTGAAAATTCTATAAACATTTAATCCAAGCTGTTCTGTTAAGTTTTAGGTGTTTTCAACCTTGAAGACATATTTGCTAAAAATATGTATTAATTTTGACACTCACTAAATAAATGTTGTTTCATTTGTTTTGTTGGTCTTATTACCACTTTCCAGATTAGCTGGTGGAGAAATACCCCAGTTGCCCCTCCAGGCAATCATCTGAGTATAACCACTGATGTTCTGTGAGCTTGCAGGACAGCATCCATACATGTATGAACCTGAAAGCCCCTGCAGGGATTTAAACCCAAGTGGTGAGGGGAAAGTGGTTCAAAGTTAACAACCTAACCACTCGGCCATGAACACCCAGAAATACTTGAGAACCATCAACATATTCTATGTCATTAGGTGCCTTCAGTTGACCTGTTGTAATAATCTAAGCAAGTACCTAGGTATGGATATCTTGGGTTGAACCACCAAAGCTTTTCCAGCAATCATTACATCACATAAACCAAGATAAATTGTTAATGTATTAACTTATTTGATTAACAGATCATTCTAGGCATTTATTTTATTGCTATTTACAAGTATTAAAACAAGTAAAAGTTAACAAAAGTCTGTAAAAGAAAATAAATTGTATATTCTATGAAACATGGCAACGTTTTACAGAAGATTTGGCACACAAGCAGATACGAAGATAGAAGACTGACAGGTTAAATGAATTAACAAGTGTGTAGAATAAGAAAGAAGTCATCACTGAGGTATTTATTTTCTAATTGAAGTGATTATGTTTACTTGTCACCAAATCTTCGCTTAGTTTAGACATAACAATCTATGTCTAGCTATGTCTGATAATATAAACAAAAGTTATATAACTTGTTAACAATATGCTGTAATAGATATACCATATTCTCAGACAATCACATTAACAAAGTTTAAGATTTTACCATCATATTAAACCTTTACCATGCAGGAACCTAACTGATTAACCTTTGCCACCAGTATAGAGCCAAGCCAGTTTGTAAATCTGTACAGTCTAACCAGGCTCTATGCTAATACTAGCTCAATTCTATTCTTTTGACGTAACAAAATCCCTTGAAAATTGAATGAACCAAGTTTATAGCAGGATAAATCCGTTATAGATATGAGTTAAGAATGAAAATAAATTTTTAAAAGTACAATTGAGCACGCAGGCAAAATCAACGCCAGCTGTACAGTTTTCTTTACATGAAAGTACCATATGAAAGTATAGTTTCCTTACACTTATTAAGTACCCCAATATAGTGTTTTTACATGAAAGTACCATATCATAGTTTCTTTACAATTAATAAGTACCTCAGAGAAGTTTCTCTTACATGAAAGTATCTCAGTATAGTTTCTTTACATAAAATTACCTTAGTATAGTTTCTTTACATGAGAGAGCCTCAGTATAGTTTCTTTACATGAGAGAACCTCAGTATAGTTTTTTTTACATGAAAGTACCCTCAGTATAGTTTCTTTACATGAAAGTATCTCAGTACACTTTTTTTACATGAAAGTACCATAATTACCATAGTTTCTTTACAATTAATAAGTACCTCAGAGTAGTTTCTCTTACATGAAACTATCTCGTAAAGTTTCTTTACATGAAAGTACCTTCAGTATAATTTCTTTACATGAAAGAACCTCAGTATAGTTTCTTTACATGAAAGTATCTCAGTATAGTTTCTTTACATGATAGAACCTCAGTATAGTTTCTTTACATGATAGAACCTCAGTTATAATAGTTTCTTTACATGAAAGTACCTCAGTAAGTTCTTTTTACATGAAAATACCTCTCAGTAGTTTCTTAAATGAAAGTATCTCTCAGTATAATTTCTTTTACATGAAAGTACCTTTTCATGATAGTACTTCAGTCTAGATTCTTTCCATGAAAGTATCTCAGAATAGTTTCCCTTCCCTGTTTATCAAAATTTGTTTATAAACTTTAATCATAATATGTCTTTTAAACTATAATTTATCTCTGATATACCTGGATCTGAGAAATAAATTTCAGGAATTATATATCTGTTGAGACAGGTTTATAACCTAGCATTCAAAACAATTAAAATCTGTATCTTATCTTAATGCAAACATCTTTCAATCCAAAAACCACCGCACTACCACCCAGACATTTCATTTTGAATATTAAAAATTACAATATAAAACTTCACTATCAGGATCAGTAACTGGCAAAAGTCTCTTGAAATGATTATCATTTCACACATTTACAGAAAGAAAGTGCATGAAAAAATTTGTGCAAGATAAACATGGTAACTTTATCATAGTTAAGCTTGCCAAAATCTAAAAAACATGCAGTGTATGGAACAATGTTTTTTGCAATGACTCCTGAAAATATGTTTATTTATTATAGAAATAGGTGTTCCTACTCTTATATAAATGAATTGACAAGTTATCATATAAAATAACTACAGAAGCAGCATTTTCGTAAAATTTGTCATAAGAATTTTACTTGATTTGTTTTCAAATGAAATTTTAATAATTTCACTTTTTTTCACACTCAACAAAATATAATTAAGGTACTAACAGCTTATAACAATTACATTCATCATAATATTGCTAATAACATCTTATAATTTAATTAAACCCCAATTCTTATAACCTCCTTGGATGGTACTTTCACAGTTACTTCCCTTGAATAATGAACACAGTTAACAGTTACTTCCCCTGATTTCAATACACCCCACTTGTAATTACAGTTTTCTGACACAGAAAATCAGACTAGAATGTTAATCTTTTTGTGTATTTTGTGAAATGATTAAAAGAAAAGCTGGCAGACTTGTTGCAATCATTGAAAATATCTGAGTAATTACAGACAAGAATGTTCTCATTTTTACTGAAATAGTAGCTTGACATTTTAATATAGTCTATAAATACACTGATGTAGAAGAATTCAAACAACTCAACATACACTTGTGTGTATAATTACCTAGAATAAACAGTTTACTGGAGAATAAGTGAGCTATAATTACCCATTAACTTAGAAACATTACAAATGAAGTTTTAGAAAATTCTCTTTTTGTATCACAAAACACACCACATGCCCCATTCTGACACTATAAATGCTATTATAAAATGCATTTCTATAAATGATATTGATAAATATAAAATCAATTAAACTTTATTAAGTAATCCCCGGCCTAAAAATCCTAAAAAGTACTATTAAAAACAAACCATCTTCACCTTTTAAATAATTTTTATAGTTAATCAAAACAAGTTATGCCCCTTTTTGGACCTTGCTTTTATTACTCTGTGCCAATGCTGAGAAAGGTAGGGCATGCTGTCCGCTGTGCTTGGAGTGAATTTGACTAAGCTTTGATATAGTTTCTGAGAAAATAGACCAAAACAAACATGACAATAGCTTCAATTTTTTGGTTTTTAAAAAAAGGCATAATCATGGCTTAAATAATATCCACCTTACACAGTCTGAAACAAGAAAAGCCTTTCATTAAAGTTATCAAACACTGGCACATTACATTAAGATGGGTTTTACTTTGTAAAATTTTAAAATCCTTTTTATCTAGCAATATTGTCCATGCAGTAGCAACTAGTTTAGCATTTCAGATGGAACAGTGTTCACACTGAACTAAAGGAGATATTTTGTAAAATTATTTTTTAATGAAATTCATACTAGATGATACATATAATAATATAGACCTTAAACCAGGAACAATAATGTATCAGTATGTTTCCATTTTTTCCCCTATATTAATCCCTTTATAATTTCCATGAAACCTATATTGGCATTAATTCCAGAATATTGACATGCTTGCCATTTTATGGTTTCAAAACATACATGTATGTAGTTCAATGGTTTTGAAGGATAGTTCAAGAAGTAATAACTTTATCTAACTCATTTATACAAGAAGTTAATTTACAAAATTAAAAACTTTAAATCCTTTAGAAGTATACTGGAGCAGCAAAAAATCAAACAGTCAATCTAGAGTTTGTAATTCTATAAACATTAAAGCATTATATTTATATTAAAATTCATATTATCTATTATTTTCTATCATGGTTGGGCTTATTTCAACTATAATATTACTTAAAATATTGACAATAGAATTTCATATTACTTTATATGCATTGATAGAATTTGAAACAGGTTTAATTAACTTAAAGTATAAAACTGGATTATAGGAAATCGCATTACAGGTAATTGTTATATAATTACTATGCCAGGTATATCAAAACATTGACCAATGGGAAGGCTGCATTCCAGAAATCTGGTGACTGGCCTCACAGTATATTGTATGATGAACATGAATGTCTACTAGAAATAATGGCTGAAGAAGATAATCATGGGTATATATACATGTATATAATATAATAATTAAGGTTATTTCTTTATCCATCACCAATGTACTTGCATGACTATTTATATACTGTATCATATATATGATTATGTAAACATATAAATATGTTATTATATCAAGAATAATTGTTATATATACTAACCCTGTGCCAATGTATACCCTGAAATAAGTATGTGTATAATGATTTAATGATAAGACATTGATTCCTCTCAAAGATGATTCTTAAACTATTCAGTAAATCATTCCATAAAGGATGCTCATAAAGTTATCAAATGCACATGTTCTGTTTCCACTTTATAAAGGTTAATTGTTTGTGCAAGGCTTTTTTATTATATCAAAACTAAAATTAAGCAACTAACTTAAACTAACCCTGATGAAGGCTATTGAATAGCCGAAATGTAGGTCATTTTTTTTAAACTTATTATCATTTTTATTTTATATTTTACCGTTTTCTTTAATCAAATACACTAAAACAACTTTATCCCAACATTTGTGATTGCTTATATTTCTTTTTGCATTTGCTCTATTTCATATTTTGCAGGCTAATAGTTTGTGTAGCATAAAGAGTTACTTCCCTTTCATGTTATACACCCCATTTGTAAAAGACACCTATGATGGCAGTATTTCTCACAGGTAGACATCAGGAGTTTACAGGGTAGTTTGAGAATTAAATATAATTGAACCGTGGCGTGACAAAACCAACATAGTGTGTTTGCGACCAGCATGGATCCAGACCAGCCTGCGCATCCCCGCAGTCTGATCAGGATCCTTGCTGTTCGCTATCAGTTTCTTTACTTGTAATTGAGTTGGTAAGCTAACAGCATGGATACTGATCAGACTGCGCGGATGCGCAGGCTGGTCTGGATCCATGCTGGTCGCAAACACACTACTTGGTTTAGTCATGACGCGGCTCATATTGATATGCTATTGTTGCCAGTCAGCTGTATAATGGAGGGAAAATTATCTCAAGTAGAAACATAACTTAACATCAAATAAATCAGTTAAAACAAACTTTAATAAATCTTTTTAAACAATAATACTTTAAGAGAAAGGCATTTAAGACAGCAAAAATGCTTCTGTTGAATAAAATAAGTCAAAATTTGTTTAAAAATTAAAATTTTTGCATTTAGGTAAATCATATTGTTCAGTTATCTTATAAAAAAAAGAAACAATAAAAATAATGGTCTGTCCAGAATGAAAGATGGATAAGTCCATTTAAGATATGCAACAGAGGCTAAAGGTGACAATAATACATATAACTTATCATGAACTGTTGTACCATGTTACCACACAGGTCATTTACCTTATTATGACATTATATAACAGTGCAGCCTGTTTTATTTAAGTACAAGAAGAGCTTATCCCGCCCTGCACTGATAGATATACACTCACTGACTTCACATATAATTTCACAGTAGTAGTCAACCTCTCTATTCCTAACCTCATAATCAGTGTTATATTACCAACTTTCCTGGAGATCTAATTAATATAATACATTTATATTACCACACACACACACAGGCACATCTTCAGATATTAAAAAATATTAATAAACTCTATAATAGCTCTTATATCTTAAATCAAACATTTTGTTTTCCTTTTAACCTTTACTCTGACGGATTTGTGTTATGTGTTTGCCCTGCATACACTTTGGTATTATCTATTGTAGCCATTATTAATTATGAAAATTCCGGATAAAAACTTTAAAATAAAGCCGCCAATGGTATGATGGCTATAAAGTCTGGTCAGATATTATTTTAGTACAGACTGAGCCTGTTGTTATATGAGTTATTATAATCAGTTATTGTTTTATAGACTGGTAACCCTTTGCCAGAACTTGAACTATAAAATTACTATAAAGAAAAATGAATCAAGATAAAATGATTTTAATTCCGACTTCAAACCAAAAATATGATAAAAATACCACAAAAATTCAAATAAATAATTTTATATTTCAATAACATGTATATCCCTAATGTTGGCAGATAGTGTTCTTGTATGCAACAAAGGGGTAAGCAGGAGCAAGATTTTAAATTATACAAAAAGCTTGTTGGTGTGCTGTTTGTGACAGCTGAAAAAAAAGCAACCCTTCTGAAAGTTAAACCATTTAACTAATAAATTGTGAAATTAAATTTTCTGTAAAATTACACAGTTTACAGTAGATCAATATGATAATCAATATGATATGATATGTAACAAGACTTTCTGATAGTCAAATCACTGTGATCAAATTAGCCAGTTTACAGTAATGTTTACCATTTGGCACATACAGTGTTTTTGTTTGCTCTGTAGGCTTTTATTCTGTTATATATAATGATGTAAGAAGACATTTTTGGGACATCTATTGCTCATTATAATTACCCTGTGTTGTTTCATGGCACATCTTGGCTAACTTGTAATAATGTTTATGATACAAGCTTGCCTCATACAATTAACAAAGCATCACAATAATACAGAACAAGATATACAGTACAGGTATTATATGATAATCTATCTCTTTAGATTTACCGGGCTTAACCCCCCCCCTCCACCAAATAGAACAGAAATTACGAATCATGAAATCACCCAAGCCAGCAACTTTGAAATCTACTAATTCAAACAGTTCTGCACAAGTTTGGTTCTTAACAAACTGAAAATGCTATCATATAGTGTGAGTCAAGATAAATGCATATTTTTGGCCATTTCAGGGGCCATAACTCTGTAATGCATAACTGTTTCAGGTAGCTTTGTTGATCAAATAAGATAATTATTGAAAATGCTATCATGTAGAAAAGACAAAAATGCATATTTTTTTTGTTCTTTCAGGGGCTATAACTCTGTAATGCTTAACAGATTCAGGCAGCTTAACAATAGAAACCAAGTCTACTAGTGATAAAATATGTAAGTCAAGTTTGATTCAAAAGCTCATCATGACCATTAAGGGGTACTGCGAGTAAATCATTTTACAGTTCTGGCATTTGATGGTGTCATATTGTCACATTGGATCTATACTCTGACTTAATGAAGAATCTCACAATTAGTGTTATATATACAAGAAGGCTGACACTCTATTATCACTATTATACTTATTACTGTTAACAGTTTATGTTCCTAACAAAACTTAGTGCCTACAAAATAACTTGAAACTTTTCTTGTCTTCAAATACGGTAACTCTCATGATTAGATATCACATAGCCTTGCCACTTTTGAGACTCAGTAATAATGGTATTGCATGGTCGCGCATATATTTTTATGTGACACCACTTAAGTTTTTAATATATGAAAATAGTGTTAATATGATAATTGTAAGTAAATATTATGAATATTACATTGTAAATATTATAGGTGCTTCAATGAATCAATGATTGTTTTAGCTGAAAATGGTTCTTACTTAGGTATGTGATATTCATTACTAAATGTATTGAACTCTTTGAATAAAATAATATTATACTCGCAACAGTCTCATATAATTTAATTTTATTCAACTTGTTTTTTTTTTAATTATATGAAAACTTGTGCGAGATTCTACATACATGTATTATTTACATATATATTCTCTAAGAAATGTATGATTAGATACTGTATTATGTATTGTATGAAACTGTATTATTTCATATGTATTATGTGAAATATAACATGATTTACTATTTTAATCACCAAAATTCTACCCCATTACAAGAGGAGTACCAGAAATATCTGCATGTTTTGACAAGTTACAGGTTATTTCCGCGGTAATCGTGTGCCTTAGGCCGGCTTCAACACTTTGGTATGAACATTTTTACTCAGAACAATTTCTAAGTTTTCATAAAATTGAGCATAAATTTGAAGGCATGCTGTTTTACTTAATTACTTTAGATAAGTTTGATGATTTCACTTTCTAATTCAATTGTTCTATTAATCTATTTTATGTTTTTGTAAATGTTACAATCTATATACATGTACAATGTATATTATGCCTTACAGGTATGTAATGTTTAATAAAATGTTGTTGCTGTTGTGAAATGTGGAAAGTGTGGATAAAGATCTATCTTTTCAAAAAATATAAAATAAATACTTCAGAATCATAACTTTCTCTTTAATTTGTTGACAAAATTATCTCTTTCTCATCGCACACTGAAAGAAAATGTTTTGTTTTTTTGAAGCAATCAATTACACTGTGCAAGAGATACAGGTATTTGTTAGTGTCATAATGAATTTTGATCTAATCTATTTGCTAAAAGGCAAAAACTTATATACCTTCAGTATATCCTCTTGTTTAGTGAAATCATCGAAATCTTTCCCTCCGAGTTCTGGTCCCGTTAACTGTCTGTTGATGTCAGCAATCTGGTCGGAAAGCCGACGTATATCTACTTTTACTTGAGACGAACTTCGTGGAGAGCTTGCACGTGTCACACTTGACTGAACAACCGTGTACGTTGTCCGGGTCACCTGACCTTCTGTTACGGCTGGCTCCATGGTGATAGGAGGATATTGTACCATAGCAACCTGATTGTTCACGTCCTGCCATCGTCGCTGAAGTCTATCTATATCCGGCTCAACCAGAGCACCGGCTCCTTTATCACGTAGAGGATGTGCCTGTTGTCGTAAGGTGTCAAGGTCACGCTGACGTCTCTTCAACTCTTCCTCAAAAGCCTGAAAATAAATTACACGATTTTCTTTAAAAAAACATTCAAAATAAATTATTATACTTCCACAATGTTAGCTCATGATGAGTGGTTTGACGTATTTTCATCAGAGAGAACAATTACAAATAATTTTGTAACTTTTACATGTACTAATTGCAGGATCATAGCTACTAGTCTATGCTTTTTAGATATAATACTACTATATAGTTGCTAATAAATCATTCACTTTATTTTATATACAAAGTACAATGTACAAATTTACAGTTTTTATGTTTATCCATTTCCTTACTGTCTATGACTGACTATGTTTCTTTGTACATTCAGGTACTACGGAACCGTTATCATACTCAGGTCATAAATATATCCTATAGATCTACATCATGACAACTACCATCATTATTAATTTTGTACCCTTATATTCAAAAAGCATTTATTTTTTATTTATTCATTATATTTTGTAGGTTTTTTTTAGGGCATCCATCTGTAAAATATCACAATAGCAATTTTTAGCTTTACTGGTAGAGAAAGACCTCAGACGCCCCTGTATGCATTATTTTAGTCAAAAACGAGCATCGGGGTAGTAGCATTGTCCGTCTGTAAAATCATAGTCCTTAGCAGTGTATTGTAAGTGAATGGAAGACAGCAATCTTAAGCACCGAGCCCACACAAGGCTCTTCAAAACGGATATTTACATATTATTTATGATATGAACTTTTACTTGTTTTAACTTAATCAAGTCCAGCTATCAAAATGGTGAAAAATGATAAATATCCACATGATTAAAGTGTATAACAAAAATATAAAAATATGGTTCACCTTAAAAAAATATTGTAAAAAAGGCAAACTATTTCTGCTATGTATATACTGATAATGACTTGATATTTTCTGAATTATTCTAAAGTAACAAATGTAATTATTTCTGCTATTAACAATTAACATACAGAGCAATACTCAAGAGGGGTACATCATGGTAAGGAGAAACTGTAACATGGTGGGAAAACTATTCTCTTATTTCTAAATATATTTCCCATCTTCTGGGAAAATGATGAAATACGCACACATACAGACTGGTTCAAAAGTTTAAACTACAGCATTTGATTGGCTAATCCTTGGAACATATTCTAAATTGACCAATAACAGAGCTTCTTATTTATTTCTAGCCTCATTTTTTGACATGTGAGTGAGAACAGAATATCATGAAAGCAGACCAGCTGACCTGTTGAATTTAGCATTTTAACTGCCTCAAACTTTGTATTTAAAACAAACCTAAGCTTACTAAGGAAAAATACTATCAACATGGTTATTCACAGAATATTTGTTCACATATTTTGAAAAAAGAAATATTTATCCTTTACTTTTTAAAAATTTAAATAATTACCAATCAAACCTTATATTTCTAATTATTTAAGTAAACGAACTAAGCATGCTGAACTATAATCTCTACACAAGTATTACACCTACATTCTAGTCTAAATAATCTCTACACAAGTATTATACACCTACATTCTAAGTCTAAATAATCTCTACACAAGTATTACACCTACATTCTAGTCTAAATAATCTCTACACAAGTATTACACCTACATTCTAGTCTAAATAATCTCTACACAAGTATTACACCTACATTCTAGTCTAAATAATCTCTACACAAGTATTACACCTACATTCTAGTCTAAATAATCTCTACACAAATATTACACCTACATTCTAGTCTAGATAATCTCTACACAAATATTACACCTACATTCTAGTCTAGATAATCTCTACACAAGTATTACACCTACATTCTAGTCTAGATAATCTCTACACAAGTATTACACCTACATTCTAGTCTAAATAATCTCTACACAAGTTTTACACCTACATTCTAGTCTAAATAATCTCTACACAAGTATTACACCTACATTCTAGTCTAGATAATCTCTACACAAGTATTACACCTACATTCTAGTCTAGATAATCTCTACACAAGTATTACACCTACATTCTAGTCTAAATAATCTCTACACAAGTATTACACCTACATTCTAGTCTAGATAATCACTACACAAGTATTACACCTACATTCTAGTCTAAATAATCTATGGTTTCATTCTAATATTGCCATTTTTACCATGCAATGGACTTTCTCATCATAATTATAGGTCTGAACAATAATCTCAGTAAATTGCTCTATTTCTTAGAATGCCTTGACCAGCTTCCATGTTCTTGAATTGTCTTTTACAATATTGTAAATATCAAGATGAAAATGTTTTAGTAACTAAGAAGCAAAGAGTCTGATCAAGGCTTCACAGTTGGGCAGGCAGTTAATTCTGGCCTAGTAGCTCTATTTCTCAGGTGACAAAAGCTTATAATCACTTATAATCCAACAACAAAAATTTATTAACCAATTTAAGTAGCCTGGTCAGGCAGTATAGATGTGTTGGCTTGGTTTGTACTATACTTCTTACCTGAGCCAAGGCATTATTCTTGTTTGTTTGATTGGGTTTTACGTCACACCGACACAGTATAGATCTTATGGCTCTACTGGTGGAGGAAGACCTCAGGTGCCCTACCGTGCATTATTTCAGGCACGAACAAGCACTGAGTAGAATCACCTACTAGCTTCCTCACATGAAAGAACATTATTCTTGCAAATATAGAGGGAGAAATAATTATATATTACTGTAGGTGAGCTAATAATCTCACAACGTAAAAACATAATCTAAATCTCATTAACCTCCTAGTTATTCATTCTATCTTGATTAACAACAAAACATTTTTTCTAATTTGTTTGGTTAACCGACCTAGTTTTCAAAATGACATTCACAATGTATCAACCAAATATGAGCACCACAATGCAATTTAGGTCTCAATTTCATTGAACTCATACACATTATACTAACGAAATAAAACAAAAGTCAAGAACAAACTTCTATCTATTAAATTATAGCACAAAACTGCAGATGATATTTTGGTGTAAACTTTTCTGCACTTAAAAAAACCAAGAAACTATCAACCAATACTGTTGTTTACCGATATTGTTGAAGGTATTTTGACACTGTTTCTACCCAAGTGTTACATGTTTCTGGCAGAATGTTGGCACCAGACACTGCAATTAGATGTTACAGTTGCAATTTGACATGAGGGGGGCGGGGACAAATAATTTGCATTATCACAGATTTTAATGTGTATCTCTTCATGACAGGTAGGTAAAGACTTGTCATCTAGAAACCATCAATGTCAAACAAAACAACAGCTTGCTGCACATTTCAGCATGAATCAAAGCAGATATCTACCCTCATATCACCAACTAGGGCAATATCTGCTAGAGATATTTACACTATAAACATTAACTAGGGTAATATCTGTTAAATTTAGTCAAATTCTTTTAATGGCTTGGTCTGAAACAATGTCAAGCAACTTATATGAAATATAATAAGAAAATATGAGAGTAATTTTGTGGTTTTACATCAGTTATTTATCCCTGTTATTTATCTATTACTAATGACATACGTTGTACATGTATTGAGGTCTTGGCTGTCACAACAGTTGTCATGTAATTAAGTTACGTTATTTTTGCACCTTGTGCAGGAAGTAGTTACGATATGATTTTTAACATGAGGTTATCTATAATAATTGTTTTGATATTATTCTGAGCTAAGTACATTATCACCTGACATATAACAGAAAACCATACAACAGATTATGTCCACAGTAAGTCAATAGTAGCTGTAGAGCAAAAACCAAAGCAAAGATAAAGTACATTAAGCCATTTTATAAAGTTAGATTAAAAAAATCACAGCTAAATCAACTACAAATTAAACAAAAAACATTGATCAAGAGTGAATACACAGTTCCTTAACATGAGTAAAACAAAACACTATAAAATGTTCGTTAAACTATAAAGAGTAAATTCAATCACTGTGACATGAGAATTTAAAAGCCAAATCACTGTGACAAGAGAAAAGCCAAAACTACGTGACCAAATGAAAGCCAAACACTGTGACAAAAGTAAAACAAAAACACAGTGACAAGAGTAAAACCAAAACACTGTGACAAGAAAAAAGCCAAAACTATGTGACCAAAGAAAAGCCAAAACTATGTGACCAAATAAAAGCCAAACACTGTGACAAGAGTAAAACAAAAACACAGTGACAAGAGTAAAACCAAAACACTGTGACAAGAGAAAAGCCAAAACTATGTGACCAAAGAAAAGCCAAAACTATGTCACCAAAGAAAAGCCAAAACTATGTGACCAAATAAAAGCCAAACACTTTGACAAGAGTAAAACAAAAACACAGTGACAAGAGTAAAACCAAAACACTGTGACAAGAGAAAAGCCAAAACTATGTGACCAAAGAAAAGCCAAAACTATGTGACCAAATAAAAGCCAAACACTGTGACAAGAGTAAAACAAAAACACAGTGACAAGAGTAAAACAAAAACACAGTGACAAGAGTAAAACCAAAACACTGTCACAAGAGAAAAGCCAAAACTATGTGACCAAATAAAAGCCAAAACTATGTGACCAAATAAAAGCCAAACACTGTGACAAGAGTAAAACAAAAACACAATGACAAGAGAAAAGCCAGAACTATGTGACAAGAGAAAAGCCAAAACACTGTGACAAGAGAAAAGCCAAAACTATGAGACCAAAGAAAAGCCAAAACTATGTGACCAAAGAAAAGCCAAACACTGTGACAAGAGTTAAACTAAAACACCGTGACAAGAGTAAAACCAAAAACACTGTGACAAGAGTAAAACAGACAAGAGTAAAACCAAAACACTGTGACAAGAGAAATTTAGCCAAAACACTGTCAGACAATAGTAAAATCAATCTCTGTGACAAGTCAGTAAAACCAAAACACTGTGAAAAAGTAAAACTTTAATACTTTAAAAAGTGTAGAACCTAATAACAAAACAATGTCAAACACAACTTTGTACATTTATACTAACATAAAAGCAAAACACTGTAGTAAGGAACAAAAAGAATCACAAACATTATAAGGGCATGCTGGAGAAGAAGGATGGGAAATTAAACAAAACTAACTTGCTTAAAATAAGAAGGGACAAAAAACAATATTGAAACCAAATATAATTAAACTGCAGGTACCAAATGAACAAAAAGGAGCAAAACATAAAAACAGACAAGAGCAAAAGCACTATTACAAGAGAAACAAAACAACCTCTAGAAGAATGACATGTGCAGTGTATAAACACTCATGTAGATCAATGTAAAGCAGCAGAAAGAGATGATGATTGTAACCATTGTGAAGGAGACCAAACAATCTTCAATCCAGATGTAATAATAGTGTTGCTTGAATGATCATTAATATATTATTAGTGCAATTTGTAGAAAGTTTTACAATTTTCTGCTTCACTTTGCCCTCGGTTATTTCTATTTTCTGCTAGTTTCTTGTGGCAATACCGAAGATATACAAGTAGATCTACTCACAATAACTGATATTTAATGTGAAATATTCCTGTTACATACAATAAAATCTGACAATGTCGCCACAATTACATCTCTCTTCACACTGTAATTGCATGAAAACTATGATACAACTCCTCCAGAAGTGATCATACACAATTATTTACTGTTATTAGGGTATCTAATGTAAGGTTTTATAGAGGGAAAATACTTGGGAAGGCATATACTGAAGGGAGAAGAATTCTGTAAAATAATCACTTTGTTCTAATGTAAAAACTGCACCAACAAAATCTATCACACACACTGTGGTAACATTATCACAGATTGTAAAACTTTGAAAATTTTTTTTACAAGAACACCTTTCCATGTGTTGTTTGTTATATTTATATGGTCCTTCGAGATCATTGATTCAAGCACTTTTAAAGTGTTGAAAATTGAAGTACTGCTCAAGACAGTGCTAGGGGGCATGAGTGATCTTTTGAATTATCCCTCATGTACAGACTCGATCAAACTGAGGCTGCAATTTTCAAGTACTTTTGCTGATTTTAATGCTTCTGAGGGATCAATTTTTTCCAGGTATTTCAATATACTGTAACCCAATTTATATTCGCGAATACAAATGTTCGCGTTTTGCCGAGGTCGGACATATTCGCGAATATTAATTTCCGCGTTTTCTCGATTTCCGAAAAAAAAAATTCGCGGATTGGAAAGTCCGATGGGGCCATAAAATCCACTAGCCGACTATTAATCTTAAATAATTGAGGTCATTATTAGTGTCTAAAATGGGATTAACAATACGCTAGCCTTATATATTGTATTGGTAAGTGAATTGTGATCACAATTCAGCAAAACATTTTCTCTATATTTTTTATTTATATGTGTACATGTACGCATCGTTCGTCTTCATTTCCAAACATGTCGTTAAAAGAGTGGGTATCACACTATTATACTTTGTTTTTCTCGATTAATAGTTTTCTTTCGTCCGTTCCCTTCAGACGTGTGAAAAACACAAACTAGACGATAATTGCTCAGAAGCGCGTGTCATAATGATGATTATGTTTGTAACATGTTTAGCTGTTTTTATAAAGTTAATCTATTTCGGGTGTTGATTGACTTATGTCCAAAATGAGTGAATTATACGTTCTTTATAAATATTCGAACACTGTATCAATTCATTATGACTTTAAATGTAAATGAAATAGTGATTGCTATATTGACATAGAGTTCTTTTGATATTTATAAAATAGTAGTAGTTTACTTAGTTTGTGTTTTTATTGTTTGGCAATATTCATAACAATTCATTACTTCCTAACAGGTGCCCGTAAAATTCGAATATATCCGGTCAAGTAGCTTTGCATGAACAACGTCTAAAATAAAAATTTCTCACCCAATTTATTCGCGAAATCGTGCGGACTTATTCGCGCAAACAAATATTCGCGCTTCGTGGCCATCCGCGAATAAAGCGAATATTAATTGGTCGCGAATATTCGTTGGGTTACAGTAAACATAAAACCTGACAACAGAGCAGGGTTGGTGGGATTTGTTTGGAAATTGTCGCATTAAGACAGTATAGGTCATATGGCAACTTTCCAGCTTTATTGGTGCCTCAGACTGTGCATTATTTTAGGCAAGAACGGGCACCAGAAAACCACCAACATTCCAAAAGCTAGCTGGATGGCTTACTCACATGAAAGAGCTCAAATTCCCTGTCAGGATTGGAACCCACAACGGCAAGGGGTGCTTTTATTCCTGTACATGTTGCACTTAACAAACATTTTCAGCTGATTCAACATAAAATTGTTTCCATGAAGACCATCTTTCTCACAGTATCAGTGACTACAGATCCACCTGTATTATGTTGTGTACATCACACAAAAAACATGCTAATTAACCATGTGCTTGTAATTTCTACACTTTCTTTTTTGTCTAAAAATAACATGAAAAGGTATGTATTCTCATTTGAAGGAAATTGAGAAAAGCTTTTTAAGTGATAGGCAACTCTTTAGGACTTGACAGCCTCTTGGAACATGGGCAAATTTTCTGACTGTACAACACAACAAAGTTATCATACAAGAGTTAATTATATTATGGAACACCTGTAATGTCTTCCCTTCAACCTTCTCCACAAATATCACTTCAAACAGCTTCTACAACACAGCAAGTCAACCCCCTTATTAAGGAAACTATAATATTATGAGAAAGGTGTGATGGTGATGATAATTCAATACCCTTCTAACAAACTTTGCTTTATACTCTAGATATTTTCATTAGTTTGCTTATTTCAAAATAACTTTCAAGTATAAATGCTTTACGTAAAGCAGCACTCTTTATATATGAATGTTTAAGACACTGATTTGAAAATGGAAAATTTAAGGGACTCATGACAATAGCTATTATTATATTTACCTTCAATTTAATCTTAACAACTTAATACAGCAAAATAGTCTTGTGCTATTGGGGCGTGAACAGTGACTTGCAATTTTCACTTCTGTGGGCTTAAAACAGGCTCAATGATACCAAGCATGCAATATTTCCAAATTTGCTGTTTTAGGCGTTCTTCTGGGATTCTGTTTCTCTCTTAATTCTGAGTACAAAAACTGTCTAAGCTATCTTATTCTTTGATAGGATAATAGTTAGGGCTCTTCCTATTCAATTTAGCATATATATAAATAAATGTTTGTATAGTTCTCTAAAATTGCAAAATACAGCAAAAATCACTTCTTATCTAAGCATAGAATAATGAACAAAGTTGGTGTTCCATAGATCATGAAGTAAGGTTTCTAGAACTTCAATTTTCTCTTAATTGTAGCTATGAAAACTAAAGGGGTATATGTAAGATAAGAACAGGTGGCATTTTCTACTTTTCTCATCAAATTCTATTATTTTGATAAGTAACAGTTGTGCATTTTTTTGCTCTGTTATATATAACTCTGTCAATATAGGACAGTATAACCTCACCTCATGAGATTAAAGTTATTCACTTACTTTTTCTAAATATGAAAATTTCCCCCCTTGATTATGATAGGAAGAAGTCGGTATTTTCAGACATGTGCAGATTTATAATTTTTCTTCTTGATAATACTGTGAGTTAAAAGACTTACTCTGGAATTAAGAATATTTTGTGTCTTTCGGTACAAACAAACTTGTACAGTTACAGCTTTGAAAATAAGTAGTGCACAGTGAAGCTATAGCCGTTAAAGTTTGTTTGTTCCAGGAGATTAGCTTGGAAAAAACGCATATTTGCCAAGTTCAGATTGACATTTCTTTGTTCATTTCTCCCCCCCCCCCCCCCCCCCCCCCTCCCCCAACACAGAGTTTTGCTCGCAATATAATAATTATCACAGTAGAAACCATATGGAAATATCAAAAAATCTAAAATAAATATCAATGACAATAAGGATATCACATTAAACTACCTCTAAACATTTTGAAAACAAAATACAAAAAAAACATCAAATAAATATAATGCATTATGTAACAAAATGGAGCTTTTATTTGCAAAAGGTATGTAGTATAATGCCTTAAAATCCAAATGGTACAAATGGCAACAGAAAAATTGCTTTCATAGAATTACCCTGACAAATAAGACAAAAAATAATTTCCTAAATCTTTCATTTCATACATATATTATTCAAATTTATCATTTTAAAAAATCTATTGTGCATTTTTTAGCAAGTTTTTTTTTGCATTTATTATTTCAAATAGCAGTTCATAAGGTGAGAAAAAGATATAATTGTCAATAAATAGAAATCTTATGAAGTTGTTTCTAAATGTTTAACACTGAGCAGTCTGTCATGTACATGGTTAAAAAGAAAATGAGATGACCTTGAACTTATACATTATGATAAATGTATTTTAAAACAGTTGAATGCTGAGAAGGTACCACTGGTAGTCAGGTGTGATTGTAATGAACCATCAATGATGGGAGATATTTCAGACATATAATTCAGACATATAATTTACAGAAATAAAGATTATTTGAATAAAAGTTTTAGCCTGCTGGCAGAAACAGATTATACCAGTGCTGGAGCATCACTGTCATCCAGGCATGGTCCACACTGTTGTGCTCTTTTCAGTCAGTACATATTTTGAGAATTATCCTAAATTGATGTGTTTTGTCTAGGTTGAAAGAATAGGGAGTCTAAGATATGTGGCTAAAATATGCAGAATGGTAAGGGATAAATTTTGTTTTGCTGGGATTTGCGCCACTGTCAGTCATATACTTGCTGACAAAACTTTATTTGTAATTAGAAATACTTATTATTTAAAATAGTTGATGAAAATGCATTACAAATTATTAGAAATTATTGTTTATTTAATACTTGATAATGTTGCATTAAATGCTCAAAATATAACACAATGCAGGTCTTGGAATTTTATAATGGTATAAAAGAGGTCAAATCTGTTTGTTGCTATGGAATTATACCAGTACTTACATTTTTTAGGACTAAAATTCCAAATCCTAAAATACCGGCCATAAAACAGAGGAAGACTAAAGATAGAAGAAGAGTCAGTGCTGACACCAGCGACAAAATGTCGTCTGCTCCCATATTCCCACAATGCAATTTTCAAATTTCTTAACACAAAGCTATCTCCTTAACATGGCTATTTGCTTCATTCTCTTTAATACTTCCATAAATTCTGTACACAAGTAAATCTAACATTTTTGTTTCTTTCTTTCATATTTCTTGCTGATTTTATAAATCTTCATTCTGAAGCAGAAATTATATTCCCTCAACAACTATTTCACCCCATATTTATCAATATACTTCAATCATATAAATCTCTTACTATCACAATTTTTCTTGTAAAATGTACAATGTTAACTTTTTAGTTTTATCGATGTACAAATAAAATCCCAAGAATGAAATAATCTTTTCACAAGTGATAATTCACATGTTTAAATATTTAGGTAGAGTTGATTATGAGCAATTAGGTTCCCTTAATTTTATACAGGTAAATTCTGTCTTCACAGATCAATCTAGCCTAAAATAAATCGTGAAAATCACAGAAAGTCTTACAATAATCAAACTCCAGCATGTAAGCAATCAAGCATGAACCTTTTATGCGCATTTTTGTCATTGCATCTATCCATATCATCGACAATATTCCTTTTTTCCCGTTACAAGACTATTTTCTTTCTAAATAACTAAAACATAACTAAACTGTCTGTTAATTCCATTACTTTTTGTCTATCATGTCTACATATCGAATGGTTATAACACTTTTTTCATTATTTTCTCATTCATCAATAGAAAGTGAAGCCAAAGTTTTAGAAATCAATGAATTCTTTATCACTTATAACAACAAAACAGTTGAACAATTTATTCCCGTCAGATTTTTCAACAAGTTTTTTTCTTGATGTAATAGGCATATGATAAATAGGGGATTGACAGTACATAAATCATGAAATATTTGGGGCTGCAAAATCACTTTCCTCTATGAGCAAACAAGCCCATCGGCCACAGGTGAGCCACGCGTGAACCATTTCAAAACACGGCTGGGAAATATATTAAATCCATACGTATTATCCGAAGGTAAATCCAGCGAAAAAATTAACTCGAAAACTTCATAGTCGCTTTGAACTTCAATACAACACCAATGTTTTGCCAATTTCTTACGTCTAAAATAATCAAGACATTTAAAATTCTAATCAAATTTATTTCCACGATATATTTAAGCTGCTTTTATCTTTAATGAATAAATAAATTTGTCAATTGAAATTACATTGCCATTTTTTTTCTAGTATAGGCAATTTCCAAAGAACTTTTATAATTAAATGATGGAAAAGTACAATCAGATAAGAAATTGGTTTATTTCACATTTCTTCTTATTATAAACAAATTTTTTTAAAGAAACATTTTCCATTTGAATAATTCCTATCAACATTAATTTTGAAAAACACAGAGCAGACGACACTTTCACTTCCTCTTTTTTTCCCCTTTTTCAAAAACTCTCTCAGCAGACGGACAATGATTTTCTCTTCAGGTAGCAACACTGCCGTAACAGAAACAATACCAAGTATTCTCTCCAGTTCACAGGTAGCAAGGGTAGCAAAAAGACAATGAATCACCAGGTGGCGCCAAGTGTACACCCATTAGCAGACGACACTTAATTATTATAACTTCTTACCATAATGACTTCAGATTGTTTCTGGCATTCCATTTAATGTGACCACTTGTAATAGGGAATCTTCTTTAAAAGAGTTACACAAATAAACATCTACATCTCTTAATCAATTTTGCAAAATACTCAAAAAGAAATAAAATATTTAAGAAAACATCAACTTTTCAAACGTGTTTGTCCTATTTCAGTGAGTATAATTATGCTATAAAAACAAGCCTTTGTCATAAAAGAGATTTCTCCTTGATATAATCAAATAGCATAAAGGCTAATTACCTAAAATGCAATTTTTTTTATTTTTTTTTTGGTTCCTTAGTTGTTGTTTTTTTTTGGTGCCCATTTTAGAAGAAAATCTATAAAACTGCCATATTCCTTCAATTTGTCTTTACTTTAAACTATATTATCATTAATGTACTGTTACAATATCAACTGCAAGCTGCAGAAAAGGGACGTAACTCTGCAAAAATGGTATTGACAGGATAAATATAATGTGTTGATACTGTTGACGGATTTGATTTAGATTTTTTTAAAAATAAAATGTTTATAAAATTATATGCCTGCTTCATACTTGTCACAGACATGTTCTGCTCTAAATTTAAAACTGTTCATGTTCAATTTAAGGGGTCTGAAAGTCAATACAGTAAAGACTGTTTACAGTGACCTTCGATGGGAGAAAAGAAAAAAGGTCATTATAGACAGGGAGTCACTGTGGACAGTCTCTATATAATTCGGATATATGAACATATCATACTAATATTTTGTTGAAAAGCAGGATAGTACCATACTAAGGGTTTAAGTTAAAATTGCATGTATAATTGGTTAAGATTATAAACTACACCCTAACATTAGTATCTAAAAGTTACATATTCATTAAAATGTAATTTATATTGATAAATCTGTTTGTAAAAAAATGTTTAATTTCAATTTTACTAATGAGATGTTACTGTAGAGACATTTAATTTTGTATAATCAACCTGTTTACTTTACGGAGTTCAATGTATTAATAAAACATTAGATACAAATCTCCACATAATTTCTACAGATAAGTGCTCCGAAAAAAATTAACAATCGAGGTTTCAAACATAACCACATCTTTAAGACGTTTGGCATTGTTTATCTTTACTCGCCAAAACACCGCAGCAATTATGTACATGCATGTGTCTTTAATCATTTTATCGGCGAAAATTGATTGAATTTATCGCCATATTGTGTAATTGTCAACAAACAGCCACAGTGTATTAGCGTGTCGCCGATTGGTCAATGCAAACTGCCGTAGATACAACGCGCGTTCTGATTCGTCAATCGCATATATACGTAATGAGAAAGATAAACATAGTGAACTCTTGCCTTGCGGCGTGTATTGAACTTTGTTGATGTTGACACGCGTTCTTAATTAGCGGATTAACGGTAATTGGTTGTAATTGAGAGGTAAACAAATTATTAACAGACCTAGCGGCGTAAATAAGTATGACGGAAAATTATAAAAATCGGGCGACTGAAGCAAAGTCGCTGATCCGAAGGCGACTTCTTCGCCAAAGTAGTCACCTAGTTCAAGCCATGCTCCCCTTGCAAAAGTCGCTGTTCACGGCTCAAATACCGTAACGGGTGACTAAATGATGGTCGTTATACGGACTAGACAGGGAGTCGCTACATACAGACCATTTATATAGTAAATACTGTTCGGCGCACCTAACTATGGTCACTATAGACAGAACGTCGCTATATACAGGGGGTCGCTAAGACAGTCTTTACTGTATATTAAATATAGCAGACAACATTTGAAGCCCAGAGATTGAATATTTCACTCGTCCGCTTGTAATTACAAGTAGAATTTAAGGAACTCCATGCAGAACGAGCAGAAAAATGTTGCCTGCAAAATGGATTTAGAAGCTACTCGTCCTTCTGGACTAGATACTCTGAAAATATTTTTCAATGCCTGAAGCTTGGGAATATTACATGAACTGTGGCGCGAGGGTTTGGCGCTTACAAGCAATGACATCAGCTTACTGTTCCTGACATCAGTGCTTCAATGTATTCAACAGTATTACTGGCCGTGTGTATTTCAAAGTTAACTTATAATTACGATGAGCGCAGTATGTAACACAAGTATTTGCCTGGAACAATGAGTTCTGACAGGTAATTTATTGTTTTATATATGATTATCCAGTCAGTATATTTTCCCACAACATTCTGACAACTTGCCGTTGTATGAACAAACTTGTCATAACATTCCCCTCATAACATCAAATCAACTATTCCAAAATCTAGTGTATGTTTATTAAAGGATCTCAATTGAGGTCACTTAAAATATAAAACTTGAAATTCTTGCATAGATCTAGTGAAGTATTTAAAATGGGGAAATCTGTAAAAGATAATTCAAAGAAATACACTTGTTAAATTGAAAATATTTGTTTTTTGTAAAATTTTAAGCCTTGTTTGAGAGAATGCTTTCGGTTTTTGGTCATTTTGCTAAAAAAATATTTTTTTTCTTGGAACTTTTTAACAGAGAGAGGGAATGGTATAAAAAATTTCACACAATTTATTAATTAGTCCAGACCTACATCAAACAAGAGGGCCATGATGGCCCTGAGGTCGCTCACCTGTATATAGCCCCCCCCCGGGCCCAATTTTTACCCAAGGGCTTTTATTTGTTTATTTGAACAGACTAATGGTAGACACCCATAAGAAGATGTTTCATGCAAAACATCTAAGTTCTAGCTCATTGGGTTTTTTAAAAGAAGATTTTTTAAGCTTTTACTATACACATATAGTTAAAAACAATGACACCCCTCGGGCAGGGCCAGTTTTGACCCCTGGGCATTTATTTGAACAAACTTTGTAGATATTTACTTAAAGATGTTTCATGCTTAATGTCTAAACTCTAGTTATTTGGGTTTTTTCAAAGAAGAAATTTTTAAGTTTTTGCTATGTATATAAGGAAAATCAATGACCCCCGGGGCGGGCCAGTTTTGACCCCAGGGCTTTTATTTGAACATACTTGGTAGACACCCATTAGAACATGTTTCATGCTTAATATCTTAGCTCTAGCTCTTTGAGTTCTTTAAAAGAAGATTTTTTAAGTTTTTACAATATGCATATAGGGAAAATCAATGACCCCCTGGGGCGGGGCCAATTTTGACCCCAGGGCTTTTATTTGAACAAACTTGGTAGACACTCATATGAACATGCTTCATGCTAAAAGCTTAGCTCTAGCTCTTTGGGTTCTTAAATAGAAGATTTTTAAAGTTTTTACTATATGCATATAGGGAAAATCTATGACCCCCTGGGGCGGGGCCAATTTGGACCCCAGGGCTTTTATTTGAACAAACTTGGTAGACATTCACTAGAAGATGTTTCATGCCAAATATCTAAGCTCTAGCTCTTACAGTTCTTTAAAAGAAGATTTTTTAAGTTTTTACTATATGCATATAGGGAAAATCAATGA